TGGGAACTCACGAGCAACTTCCCAGTGGGTCACCCATCATGGGAGTGCTCTAGCCCCTTCTCGCTTAACTTCGGAGTTCCTACAGAACCCGAAGCCAGTGAGCTCCCAAAAGGCCTCGTGCTAGGTAAGGATAGGAATATACATTTAAGGATCACTCCCCTGGGCAATGTGGGATGTCACATGTGGCCACTCACCCTTATTTATGTTAAAGTTCTCCAAAATTGCTTAGAATAAAATAAATAATTACAACATCTTAAGACTTTATGACATAATTTCTAAGTTCAACTACACTTAGTAATGAAAAAGATATTATCTTTGATTTATCTATAATTATATTTGTTTTACAAAGTATTATATTTCATAAATATAATTATAATATATATATATATATATATATATTAAAATTTTAGGGTAAAGTACAAAAAACTACCTAAACTATTGGTGTCATGACACTTTCATGCCTCATCTTTTAAAATTGACAATGTCATACCTCATCTTTAGAATTTGATCCAATGTTATACCTTCCGTTACTTAGCCGTTTACTTTTCAGTTAAATGCTGACGTGGCTTGATCCAGGTCCCACTTTCTATTAAAAAACTAATAAATATTAGTAAAAACTAAAAAAAAATCATTTAATAAATTTTAAATATTAAAATAATAAAGAAAAGTTATTAAAATTAAAAAAATTAAAAAAAAACCTTCTGTTCGTACCCCTCTCCCCCCCCCCGGCCCCTCTTCTCTCTCTTCTCCCCCATCTTCATCTTCTTTTCCCTTCCAGTCCCCTTCTTGCAACCCAGAAAAAAAAGAAGGAGGAAGAAGAAGAAGAAAAAAAAAAAAAAAAAAAAAAAACCGAATCTGCAACCCAGAAGAAAGAAGAAGAAGAAAAAAAACCTGAATCTACAACCCAGAAGAAGAGGAAGAAGGAGGAAGAAGAAGGAGGAAGAGGAGGAAGAAGGAGGAAGAATAAGAAGAATAAGAAGAAAAAAATAATAAAAAACCCGAATATGCAAAAGAAGGAGGAGGGAAAAAAAAAAAAAAACCTAGATCCCATTAAGGTGGAATCGGGAAACCTTCGTGACCTCCTTCTTCTTCTTCCTCTTCCTCTTCCTCCTCCTTCTTCTTCCTCTTCTTCTTCTTCGGGTTGGGGGGGTTGTTACTGAGGGTTTTTTTTTTTTTTTTAATTTTTTTTACTTTTCTTTTAATATTTAAAAAATATTAAATAATTTTTTTTTTTTAGTTTTTAATAATATTTTATTAATTTTTTAACAAAAAGTGGGCCCCGAATCAAGCCACGTCAGCATTTAACTGAAAAGTAAATGGCCAAGTAACGGAAGGTATAACATTGGACCAAATTCTAAAGATGAGGTATGACATTGTCAATTGTAAAAGATGAGGTATAAAAGTGTCATGACACCAATAGTTGAGGTAGTTTTTTGTACTTTACCCAAAATTTTAGGTATTATGAGGCTTCGCTTCACGCTTAGGCGGGGCTATCCATAAGACACCTCGCCTACACCTTCGCCTTTTAACACATTGGTTTGTACTTACCACATTTGATGTTTGTAATGATAGTTTTCCTTCTGTGGGTGGACATCTCAGTGTTTTCTTCATTTTAAAATGGTAATGATTTGCGTATTAACCATGTGGTTTCTTGGTCTAACCTGCTGGTTCTTATCTTTGTAGGGGTTTGCAACCATGCATTTCACTTCCACTGCATAAGCCGATGGCTCAAGACATGCCAAGTGTGTCCGTTAAGTACATTATGCCTTAATCAACCTCTTCTTAATCTTGTATTAAATTTTTCTTTCCCCTGGGCGCCTGTCCTAATGGAACAACATCAGTCTTTTCCCCTAACTTCTATTGTGCTTGTTGTGACTTTTAGGTTTAGCTTTTCTTGTCAACTTATAATTGTACCACATGCTCAATCTAGCTTTAGGGTTTTCTCTTTTTATGGGTTGTGTCTGTTGTGAATAAATGTTCAAGGATGTGGCACATCTCACTTTAAAAGGTTTGTTCATGCATATGCATTTCACATCTACATTCCTGTTACATTCTAACTAACTTAGTTGTCTAATCAGACTTGCGCGTGGATTTCTTGTAAGCTGGACATGCAATTTAAGATTGGTCCATATGGGCTAACTGATACATTTTTGCTAGTTACCGGCTTTGAGCCTTTGATCTGCCTAGATCTTTTTGTAGACACATGTTCTTTGTCCTTGCTAGTTGAAAAGAAGCATCCATTTTGCATATATCTTTAGCTAGGTCTTCATTTCTTCCTTAGGAGTTTCAGATTTTATTTCCTAGAAAGAGAAAAAGAGAAAAAAGCATTAAGGCTTCACCTTCATCTTTGTTCTTCATTTGTAAAACCCTAGTTGCAAAACCTTCTTTCATGCATTAAACACCCAATCATTTAAGAATAGAGTTGCATTGCCTTTGTAGTTTTGCATTAAATTTTTGGTCAATTGTTTTTAGTTTCAAATCTTTAAACTGACCTATTTATGGATTCTCATCACTTTCTTCCTTCAACAGTTTGACTGGAGAAACTGACTGGACGTTTGAATCCAGATCTGCATATCATTGTCATATTATCATATGCATAGTTTGTGTGTTGGTCTCAATGTCATAAGGTTAAGAGTTCAAGAATAGCTGTCATCCTGTGAAGATTGGAGATAACACCATTTTGGTGCCACAAGGTGAAGAGCTTAGGAGGACTTGCCACTTCGTGAAGGCCGAATGAATCCATTTTGTGTAAGGTAAGGTTGCACAAAGGTTAAGTTGCTCCGTAGATTAGGTCTAGGAGTTGAGCTTTGCATGGTATTTGTAAGAATCTTGATTATACAAGTGGATTAGACTCAATGGAGACTCCCCGATTTTTTAACCTAGAGGTGAGTTTTTCCGGCACAAAATATCTTGTGTCCAAAGTTATTTATATTGTGGCACTTATCTCACATACATATACATGCTACATGTATCACTTGAATATTTAATTGGTATGTGCTCACAATCATGCTCACTTGACACATAAATAACTTGAAACGAACTGAGGCCTTGTTGACTAGGATAACTTTTGGTATTTGAAATTGGTTATTAAATCTTTGATTTATTGATTAACAAATCTATCTTAGTTAACTAGCAGACTTGATTATCATTCTAGCAGATTATAATTTTTATATACAGGATATTCCGCATGTTACCAATTTCACTTGTTTTGTAAATGCAGATAATAGCGAGTTGGTTTCAGACATATGGTCATTAGAAGCTTCATGTGGCCAAGTGTTCGATCTTCCTTGCACTTACTCATGTGTTGGTTCTTCTCCAAACTTCCTGCTATGGTGATGTCGACGAGGGTGTCTGATTCTAGACTAGTCTGATTGTGAATTTCTCATAATCGAATTTGGAAATGCCTTACCCTGTTATTATTACCAATTAAGCATTAAGACTTGTGACAATCATGCTTGTATCGGAGCCAAAACGCAGCGTGCTTATAAGAGCTATTCTTCTGCAACTCCTATTAGCATTAAGTATTTTGTACTGGTTTGATACTGAGGTACTTTTATAAAAAGTGGGTATCAAAAAAAGCTGAGCTCAAAAAGGTGTTTGGTAAACACTTAAAAACAGTTTATTTTCACAATTTTGGGTGAAAAAAGCTGAAAACGTGAAGTAGCAAAAATGAGTTTATTCTCACAGCACAGCAGAAGCAGTTTTTTTTCAAAGCACAGCAATACCAAACCATCCCTAAGCTACAGCTTTTAAGCTACATCTCATTTCCCAGCATACATCTTTTTGAATAATTATTCTATCATATGCATGTTTGATTCATTTTGAGAAAGACTAACACGGTGATGAAGCCGTGTGAAGTTCTCATTTTTCCGATATCATTTCGTTTTTAGTTTTGTTTTATTCTTTTTTTTTTTTTTTTTTGTATTATGGAGAAGGAGGAGAAATGAGGGTTTAAGAAAGCTTGAGAATAACGGGAGGAGGAATATAAAAGGGATATACGTGAAATGATACACGATGAAAATTATAAACCAAAAATTGAATACAATTACTTTTGTGTACTTTTCTTCATGTTTCCCTCCCTCCCATCGAACATCAACCGAATGGAAATCAAACCAAATTGATTAATATTATTCAGTTCAATTCTCTGTTTTAGGAGCAAGGCGAACTGAACCTGACTCTGCCCAGTGCCCCTTGGAGAAGCAGAAATTATATGTAGAAAATGGAAAATTACAAATAAAAATAAAAATGAAAAGACAATGAACCATCATGGATGGTCTAGTGATTGGTGATGAAGTTCAACCTATATTCCACACGACACATTCTAAGTTTAATTTCTGGCATTGGTGAATTTGCACGATGATGGTCAAGAGAGACTGAAATGTCTCTATGAATCTTTCTAACCCTCAAAAGGGTGAACTGTCATGGCAAAGCTACTAGTTGGTCCCTTTTTTACAAAATAGAAAATGAAAAGACTATGAAAGGTATGGTTGTAATTCTGGTAATAAAAGAAGTAGAACTTGGGATACAAATAGAACAATCTTCTCCAGTAGGCGCATCAACCCTCACTCGCACCCTCAAAAAGGCTGGTCCCTTTTTATAAAAGGAAGTTTTAACGAAAAGCTCACGGTACTGTTCACTTTAACGAAAAATCATATTTTTACACAAAAAAATCAATCCTGGAACTATTCACTTTACACTTTATTTTGTCCTTATTGTAAAACTCAAAGTTTTCAAACTATTTTCATTAGTTTTCCTTTTATAAAATAGAAAGAGAAGTGTTATTGGCACTCCAAAAATCTCAGTATACACTCCTCATAAGTGTATTTTTCTTTCCTAATATAAAAAATTTGGAGTGTATAATGAAATTTTTAAAGTGCTAATAACAATTCTCAATAGAAAATGAAAACACAACGAAGGGTATAGTTGTAATTCTGGTAATAAAAGAAGTAGAACTTGGGATCCAGATAGAACCATCTTCTCCGGTAGGAGCATCATGCGTGAGTCCTTTTTTATAAACTTGCTTATTGTGTAAGAACAATTTTTCATAAATTGCTGGGGTTTACTTTGCTCTTGTTGTATTTTGAATGAAGGTTAGTACTTTTATTAAAGCATGCCAAGAACAAATTGATGTTCTGAAAAATAGCATTAACGATGACGAGGCAAACTCAAAGGGATGGCTGGGCATTAGGACTGATTACTCTAATGCTGATACTATAGCTCACAAACATGGTGTGGTATGATTCTTTCTCATTCTATCAATTATATCCAGTGATATTATGTATTATTATTGTGTTCCGATTAGCCTTTAGGGAACTATGGATTTCTTCGCCCTGGTCGTGTTTTATACAGGAAGTCTTGTCCTTTTTAGTTGTTCTTTCTTGAGCTGAATTATATATACCAGACTATTGGGTTACTTAATATTTGATCAACTTAATTACGATTGCATATTCCTCGGTGTAAACATGTTGGCAAGGAATGTATGGCTTGTTTGCTTATATAATTATCCAGTGCATATTCTGAAACTACAGGTTTTGATTTTAAGCGAGAGACTCCATTCAGTCACGTCACGTTTTGATCAGCTAAGAGCCATACGCTTCCAAGATTCCGTTAATAAAGCAACACCAAGAAGAAAACTTAAGCGGATTAAGACTACAGAATCTGCAGATATCTCTAACTCTAACAATTTGGAGCTCAGAGAACCTAATGAATTTCAACCCGAGCCTCTAACAGTGCAACAACAACTTTTAGATGATGAAACACGTGCCCTTCAGGTATTGTAATACATGGCTTTCTGTCTATTCTCTTGACCCTTGCTATTCCCGTATTTAGAAACCCTTAAGTGTTTAAAGTTGCTTACTGGTGTTCTTGGTATGCAATGCAGGTAGAGCTGACTGGCCTTCTAGATGCAGTTCAAGAAACCGAAACTAAGATGGTGGAAATGTCTGCGCTGAATCACCTTATGTCCACACATGTTTTGCAACAAGCTCACCAAATAGAGCAACTATACGATCAGGTGTCGGATTATGTATCTGAGCAGTTGTTTAGTATTTGGACCTGATGCCTTGAATTGTCGGTATTCGTTTAGAAGGCTAATTGTCTCTGTCCTATTGAACAGGCAGTTGAAGCTACAACGAACGTAGAGCTTGGTAACAAAGAGATCTCCAAAGCAATCCAGCGGAATAGCAGCAGCAGGACGTTTCTTTTGCTTTTCCTATTTGTACTTACTTTTTCGATTCTCTTTCTTGATTGGTATAGTTAAACGCATTCTTCGTCGTATAAATTATGTTCTCCAAACTTTCACACAGGAAATCGGGAATAATTCGAAAAGTTGAGTTGAGTGATGTTTACTTAAATTACTTGTCTCCTCTTGGGTTCCAAGTGATTGGAATTGTATTTACAGATGTATATTTTTCACTTTACCAGTCCAAGAAATACCTGAGGTATGTCATTCCCAATTTTAGGATAGTGTGTTGTATATTCAAATTTTGGATTTGGCTACAATACTTTCGTTTATTTAATGCAAATAGCATTTCGAAGGTTAGATAGTGATTGTATAAAATATATATATTTATGTGAATACATCTGACATCAGATAGTGATTGTATTAAATACATGTAAGTGTTGTTGTCATTCCTTCAAGGTTATACTAAATATTCCTCCTAAGTATCAACTCTTCATTTGTAAGTAAAAGTTTTTAGGTTCGAATTTTAAGAATGGCAAGTTTGAAATTAATTTATTCTCCCATTTTTTAATGTAAATATTTGTTTCTATAAAACTTGACTATGATACAAGAATTATTAAAAGGGTCAGTCGTCATTTAATGTACTCTTAATCAGTTGAATTACAAACTCATGATTTTGTTAACTAGCCAACTAGATCTAACAATTTCTTACACGACCCATCAAAACGATACGAAAACAATACGAAAATAATGGGTTTCAGGTTAATACAATAATTAATCGGGTCTTTATTGGATCACACGTTAAGAACCCATTAATAACGGGTTTCATATGTATGTTTTGTTTTTCTTACAAAAAATTATATAATAATCCATATATAAAGAACAACAATAGAATATGAACAATTCTTGAAATCATAACCCTAACCAATGACTTCAAGTAGGGGTGGTTCGGTATGGGATACCAAACCGAAAGTAGTATCCCGAATCCCAAACCGAAATTTTTTGGGACGGAAATTTGAAGACCAATCCCAAACCAAAATTTCGGGAATCCCGAAATATTTTCGGGATTTCGGGACAAATCGGGAATCCCAAATTAAAATATGAAATTATGAATTATTCTTCAAATATATAATTTAAGAACACATTCATGAACTAGGAATGTCATTTCATTCACACTACCATTTAATCAAATATTGGCATGCTTGATTGTTTTTATCAAAGTCAAAATTCAAATTAATTAAACCCTTTTGACAATCTGTTAAGAGATAAAAGAATCAAACCTTCTGAAATCATTAGCCATGACAGCAGCAATAATAAAATCCAAATGAATATCAAACAAAACATGAAAAATATGCAAGGTGTAAGGCATTCCAGGTTGCAGAGCATGAATTAGAAACTACTAGCATCAATTATAAAAGAATAATATAATATATATATATATATATAAATTAATAATATATAATTTCGGTTTGGTATGGGATTCCCGAAATATTGAGAAGTCAATCCCAAATCCCATACCAAAATTTCGGGATCGGTTCGGGATAGCATCCCGAAAATTTCGGGAATTTCGGTTTGGGAAATTTTTGGTTTGGGATCGGGATTTTTTCGGTTCGGTTTGGGATTTTCGGGAATTTTTTCCACCCCTAACTTCAAGGACCATATAAATAATTAACCAACTAAATAAATCATGAATAAGTAAATAAAGCGATTAAGAACATATCAAAGGTTACATTCGTCGGAAAATTGCAACAAAAAGTAAGGAACCGTGGAGATAGAGATTTAATTGTGAACTATAAGAAAATTCTTTTTCTTTTCTTGAGTAAGAAGTACAGGTGAATCGTCGAAGACAATCATGAGTGAATGGGCGTAGGCTAAATCGCATAGGGTAAATGATCTTTTATTTAACGAATAGGATAGAAAGGGAGGGAAGATATAACTAATTTATTATTTTTAGCATAAAAAGTATTATTTATTACCTATCCTCTACTCAATATATATGAAATAATAACCTATATTGGAATTGAGTGGGCTATATAGGTTACAGGCATTAACATAAGTCATTAAAGCATGAGTTTAAAAAATGATAGTGCTAGTCACACATCCTTATTAATTTTTTGTCACTGATCTTCGTCAATTCATTCAATCCAAAGGTCGAAAACTAAAAGAAATATGTGAGAAATAAAAATAAGTGCGTAGATAACACTACACTTACAAAAAACCTCCCTAGACTATGGCCTACCTTAGCCTTGTGGGTGGCTTCGGCCGTTTCTACAATGTCCTAAACTTGGGATCAAACTAATTTTCCAATTTTATAATTTTAAGTAGGTTGTTATTTAATAGAGGTACAGTTAAAAATATTATTGGTTGACTTATGTTTTCTTAATGAATGTTGTATTTCCTAAATAGGATTCATTGGGTGCCAAAATCTTTTATTTCATGCACATACTCGCAAGCTCCAAAACGTGATATCAACTTCAAAAGCTAAAGCATCGTTCCAAACAACTTCAGATAAACATTTTAGTCATCTCAAACTTTTATGAGAGCTATTATCAGCGCTCTAAAAATCTAATTGTATATTGTTCATAAGTGTATATTTTATTTCTATATATAGAAAGTTTGGAGTGCAAAATTAGATTTTTGGAGTGCTAATAACAATTTCCATCTACTTTTTTTTATCTCCCACACACCTTTATGAATTTTCAGCTGTCAGGTTAAATGAATTAAGAATATCAAAGAATAAAAATTAACAAAGGGTGAGTGGGAGGTAAAAAGGAGTGTGTGGGAGGTAAAAGGAAGTGTGTGAATAACAATACCCTAGTGATATTCCATTGTAAGGCTTAGTCCACTCCTCCATCCCTTAATGCAGTTATAATCGTTTAGTAAAAAATACAAAAAAACAAAAAAGCAAAAAAAACAACGAAGGGTATAATTGTAATTGGGAAAACACAGAAACTGGGTCCAATTTTCTTGAGCCCAGCAGCAGCACGACTACGTCAAAGCTCTCAGCTTTGTGACCTGAAAGCTTCTACCAAACTTTGATTTGTTCAAGTCGGCAGCAACTCCAGATCCTCCGCACTTCTCTCACTCATCTCTCATCTCTCTCTCTCCCACTCTTGAGCTAGCTACCTTTGGATTCCGTTTGGTGCTGCCGATCTGCAGGTAAAGCTTCAATTTCCACATATAGTTTCCAAGTTTTCACGATTTCTGGAATTTGGGTTTTGAACAATGGAAATATTGCTGAGTTCTTATAATTATGTGCAAATTACTGGTGATTTGGACTGGTGCCTGGCAGAACACTATCATTTGTGATTCACATACTTGCTAGTCTTAGAGGAAGTTAGAATCCTATCTTATATAATCTAGGCCTTACGCGGTTTTGAGGTGTTGGGTCGATGTCGAAATCCACTGTACGGAAGTATGAGTGTGTGATTACGCGAAGAGGATTGACATGATGATAGTAAGCAACGATGACAACTTGGGTTTTCTTTCTCCCATTAGTGCCGTGTTTACTTTCATTACATGGAATGGGGGAAGTCATGAATCGACTAAGGAAAAGGAGTGGTGCGGATCAACTAGCACTCCCTAGTTGATCTGATTGCTGATTTTTCAGGAATTGGATTATGGATTTTATTGTGGAACGCGTGAATACAGAGGAAGTTCGGAATGTGAATAATTGTTTATGCAAGTGATATGCTAAGTTAAGTTCATCTAAACTATGGGATGGGGATTCAACTTGGGTGCAGAGGAGGGAGCACACTGCTTTTGGCTACGCCTCGCTCTGCAAGATTTGGAATAATTTCAATACCCATGTTTTAGCAAACGTTGGAAAGTCAAAAATCGGAAAATTTCCAATACCCATTCCATGTAAGTAAACATGTCATAAAGGAAGGGGTAAGGTAGGATGGTAGCTATCAATTTGAATATCTTGTGGTGAAATGTATATTATTATTGGATTCCTCTATATATCCTCCCATTTTGGAAAATCAATAATTTCGGTTGAATCTTTATGATTTCTTGAAATATTGGATATAACTATGCAGGAAATTTCATTAAATTTATTTGTCTTACAGAAGTAATAACCCAAACAACATGAGCACAATGGCAGCAGCGACGACTTCACAGCTCTCATGCTTCTCTGCCATGAATTGCCAGCTCCGCCTCTTGAGACGTGCACTCCTTTGCCCAACCACTGCTCATCCCAAGTCTTTGTCGCTTGTTGTCATGAGTCTTGAAGGTGGTTCCAAGACCAAGACTAATTTGAGTTACACAAGTGATGCATCAAAAGCAAAGTCGGATCCCATTTTAGATGATGAACTTGTTGCTCAGCCGAAGAGAGCGGCCAAGATTCATGATTTCTGTTTTGGGATTCCATTTGGCGGGATTGTTCTAGGTAGTGGACTTACTGGATTTATCTTTTCCAGAAATCCTGCCACTTTGAGCTCTGGTGTGCTGTTTGGTGGGGCATTGCTAGCCCTTAGCACCTTTAGCTTAAAGATCTGGAGGCAGGGAAAGTCCAGTTTACCGTTCATTCTAGGACAAGCAACTTTGGCGGCAGTCCTCCTGTGGAATAACTTTCAGACTTACGCATTGACGAAGAAAGTATTTCCAACAGGCTGCTATGCTGCCATTAGTGCTGCAATGTTATGCTTCTATTCATATGTCGTCCTCAGTGGAGGAAACCCGCCACCAAAGAAGTTGAGGCCATCTGCAAGTGCTGCATCGTTATAGAAACTACCCGAAACGCCTCATTAGGTATTGAGGTTATAAACTTTTGTATGGTGGAATTTTGCATTATGTATACGAATTATAGATGTTTTCTCATGAATAAGTAAGTTTTAATTTTGGTCAAGCAGGAGGCTTGAAATGTTTCCACCAAATTTTGTGCAAATCCGCTTCCAGAATTGATTTTAAGGTGAGTGATAGAGTAATTCAGTGGCTGATGGGCTTTGATCTTGTACTGACCTTTATATCCCAAACAGTTGAATTCTTTTTTTAGAATATGTGTAAACTTATTTTCACAGGATAATTCACCTACAACAAAATTACATCTGGATTTTTTTTTTTATACAACGTATTAAGGGGTGGGGGAGTAAATTGGTATTGAACTCATTGCTCATGAAACTCAAACCTAAAACCTCTCACTTACATGTAAAAGAGAAATTACTAAACATTAGTACTAAGTGGCAAAGTACCTCCGAAATAAATAATCGCAAGTTGTGTTCATTTGATTTGAGTGGACCACCACACCTCCACTAACTTTTCCTTTGGGTTATTGTGAAACTCAATCCATGATTCCTACTAGCAGTGGCAAATTCAAGATTCGAACATCAGGTGGTCCTAATTAAGGCACATTAGATGCTAGTTGGACGGCGAACTGAGACTTATGCATCTAAATGGGGTCTAGGCAAACTACCGAATTTAAGTAAGCTGACTCTATATCATATAAATAAGTGTCCTGTTAGATCCCACATCGCCTAGGGGAGAAGATCCTTTATACCTTATATGTACATGTCTACCCCCATATAGCACGAGGTCTTTTGGAAGCTCACTGGCTTTGGAGTTCATTGGAACTTCGAAGTTAAGCAAATTCGAGCGAGAGTAATCTCAGGATGGGTGATCCATTAGGAAATTCTCGTGTGAGTTCCTAGAAACAAAACCGTGAGGGCGTGGTCGAGGCCCAAAGCGGACAATATCGTGCTTCGGCGGAGTCGAGCACGAGATATGGTGGAGCCTGGGTTGGGATGTGACAATTTGGTATCAGAGCCAATCCTTGACCTAAAGTGTGCAGACGACGACGTTGGGCCCTAAGGGGGGTGGATTGTTAGATCCCACATCGCCCAAGGGAGAGGATTCTCTATGCCTTATGTGTACATGCCCACCTCTATATAGCACGAGGTCTTTTGGGAACTCACTGGCTTCGGAGTTCATCGGAACTCCGAAGTTAAGCGAATTCGCGTGAGAGCAATCCTAGGATGAGTGACCCATTGGGAAGTTCTCGTCTGAGTTCACAGAAATAGAATCATGAGGGCGTGGTCGGGGCCCAAAGTGGAAATTCTTGTGTGAGTTCCTAGAAACAAAACCGTGAAGGCGTGGTCGAGGCCTAAAGCGGACAATATCGTGCTTCGACGGAGTCGAGCTCGAGATGTGGTGGAGCCTGGGTTGGGATGAGACAATTTGGTATCAGAGCCAATCCTTGACCTAAAGTGTGCAGACGACGACGTCGGGCCCTAAGGGGGTTGGATTGTTAGATCCCACATCGCCCAGGGGAGAGGATCCTCTATGCCTTATGTGTACATGCTCACCTCCATATAGCACGAGGTCTTTTGGGAACTCACTGGCTTCGGAGTTCATCGGAACTCCGAAGTTAAGCGAATTCGCGCGAGAGCAATCCTAGGATGAGTGACCCATTGGGAAGTTCTCGTCTGAGTTCACAGAAATAGAATCGTGAGGGCGTGGTCGGGGCCCAAAGTGGATAATATCGTGCTACGGCAGAGTCAAGCCCGGGATGTGGTAGAGTCCATGCCAGGATGTGACATGTCTATTTACAATGAAAAAATATATACATACTTGGAGGGCAACATATAATATTCTCAAGAGATCCGAAAGTTACCAAAAAACCCCGACCCAACTCATGCACGGCCCAAATCGAATAAAACCCGCCCCAACCTCTCGAAATGAAGCAAACTCAATTCACGTCTCTCTCCCCCTCGTCTTTCGGCGAAAGAAAAACTCTCCGATTATTTCTACAGCGAGAGAAGAAAAGCTTCGTTGCCGCTGACAATCGCAACCCTTTCGGTACGTCCATTTTTCCTTAGGGTTTTTCAATTTGTTTGTTTATTGTTTGGATTCTTATCGATTTTATTCGTTGTCGAATATTTTACCCAGTTTTGGGATTTTAACTTTGAGAGGTTGAAGATTTCGATTTTCTTAATTTTTGGGTCGTTTCTGGTTTCTTGTTGGATTATTTTCTCAATCTCTTTTTACTCTCTAGTTAAACATGATTTGATATCCAGAAATTTGTAGTGTAATTTTTGTTGCCGATCTGCAAGTAAGCGTTCATGAAATCCACTTGTGTGATTTTCTCAATTTTAGGGCCAAGCATGGAAATATTACTGAATTGTTGAAATTTATGTGGTAAATTATTTTTGTTTGGCGTTTTTTTCAGACAAATTTTGGGGATATTTGGTGTAATACAATGGATTTTGATGTTTCTGTTATTCTGATTTTGCAGTGAAGCAATGGCAACACTGGACTCAGATGTTCCGATGATTCCCGCAGGCGAGGGTTCGAGCAGTGCAGGTCCTTCTTCGACCAAGAAGCCCAAGCGATTCGAGATCAAGAAGTGGAATGCTGTTGCTCTCTGGGCTTGGGGTAACCACTCTAAACCCTAACCCTAGTTCCTCTGGTTTGTTTGGAGTTTAATTTTGATTAATATGGTGTTTAAGCAGGTCACTGATGTTGTTTCGCCTTCTTGTGTGCAGATATTGTGGTTGATAACTGTGCCATTTGCAGGAATCATATCATGGATCTCTGTGAGCTTTTTGCTTTACTTTTTCATAGTTTGAATCTATTGTCTTGATGTCAGTCCTTTTCATATATTGATTGTTATTTTTTGTTTCGTCGTGAATAGGCATTGAGTGCCAAGCAAACCAGGCAAGTGCCACAAGCGAGGAGTGCACGGTTGCTTGGGGTAATCTTCTGCCTTCAAACCCTAGTTTTCTTAAGTTAATGCATATGCTATAGTTTAAGTCGGGTACTGATTTTTTTTTACCTTAAGTTAATGTGTATGTCCTTGATATAGACTCTGATTCCCACCATTTGTATTGGGTGCATGGATGATATGTCACCGTTGATAAGTATCTTATAAGTTCACTAGCATTTAATATTTTCAGTTATTAAAACATTGTCAATTTTTATGGATATCTGGTTGTTTCTTATTTTTTTCTCCATGTTTCTACCCCCAATACATTTTGCATAATTGGGAAGCATGTTCTTTGTATTTTTTATCTTTGAAGTCTAATAGGGAAGGATAAGAGCTCTGTCTTAAGATCATGCAAAGATGAAGGCTGACACTTTTCTAGGCGTGGTTAGTGCTTTTGTTAGGTGCTTAGATATAAAGAAACAAACGTGGAAACTCCTAGTTTTATTGGAAGGAAGATTCTTGTCTAATCAAAGGAAAAACAAAAGAGTTTGTTGAAGTGGCTTTGCGGAACTGTACATCATAATATCTCTAGCACTAGCTTGCTGAATTTATTTTTAGGCATTCTATGTGCCTTCAAAGCTTGTAGTTTATCATCTTTAGGACCAATACACAATTCATTCACCTTAAGATATTTGTTTGAAGCTGGCCTATTATGTCATATGTGACCTTACTGGCTAGTGCTTTAAATGGGTGTTCGTAGTGATGATTTCTCATATGGGCACTTCGGTTATCGTTTCTTATGGTTCTGAAAATAGTAAATTAGACATATTATCAGCATCTTTGTCTAAACGTCTTCTTTTTCTTTTCCTTTTTCTCATCTCTGTAGGGGTTTGTAACCATGCATTCCACTTCCACTGCATAAGTCGATGGCTCAAGACTCGACAAGTGTGCCCATTGGGTAAGATTTTTGCCTCACTCATCCCGTGCCTGTTCTTATATTACATATTCTTGTAATAGATATTTGCCTGTCTTTATGGGACGACGTCTTCTTTTCTTACTTTGGTTGTGGTTTTCTTGTCAATTCAGATAACAGCGAGTGGGAGTTTCAGAAGTATGGTCACTAGCACCTTAATGTGGCGGGTTGAACGTTCTGTGCACTTGCACCACCCGCACTATCAAGGAGGGTCTCCTCCTCATCCCCTCGTGTCCATCTTTAGTCATGCTTAATTTGTTATACTTTGTACCTTGTTATTTCAACCGTGCCGGTATATTTTTTTGTTAAGCATTCGGGTGCTCAAGTGTCTGATCTTGGATTGGATTCGTTAAGCATTCAACTACAAATTTTCAACTGTATGTCTTTTGTAGGCGTGGCTTTCTTTTGGATTAGCAGGTGTATGGTTTTCTCGTTGTGATCTTGTTCTTGGTTTTTCATCTGTAAAATTGGTTTCCATAACATTCGTAAGTATATGTGCTCTCGGGGACCAAAGATGGTCTCTTTCCTACCCGTAAGGACCTGGCTTGTATGGTGCTTGGGTTGTAATCGATGGAGCAAAGAATCGACAACACGGACATCTTTCAATCGAGCCAAGTTTGAACTATAACCGTAACACACTTGATACAGCCAAATGACACATTCGTCGGTATTTAAGAAACACAACAAAATACATGTTTACCTACAAGAAATGTCAAACTGTAACAAGTATTACTACTTGCGGCACCCGTCTTATGATCCCGACATGTAGGTATACCTTGTCTGAGCTCCGATAAGAAGCTCGACAAGTTTGGCTGCACAAACCAAAGATTTTGTATTTCAAGTATCAGATTATGTTTACCTCAAATACTCAGCTCGGAAAAGAAGCGAGACAACATAAAATGTAAACCAACCTGTTAGAAACCCAACAATAGGTACAGGTTCCAACACTTTCTCCGCGCTTTCGAGTTTTTGCCTGAAACGTTTGACAACAAAAATCACACCACAATGAGTTATTCTTAGAAAAACTTGCAAACTATCACTAAATTCAACTCTTGAGTAGTGGCATAGCACCTTACTAACGTCCACCCCCTACTTTAAATTTTCAATTTTTGCAAATTACTCAAGACAACCCCGTAAAAAATTGAATTGCCCAAATGCCACCAAAACTGCTAATTGACGCTGCCATCTCTCACGAACAAAAAGTATAGAAATTTGGGTTACTTTGGGTATATAACTGGTAGATGTTCGAACAGGGGTTTGAAACCAAACTTCTACTCAAGAGGATAGATGGGGCGATTCAAGTGAGATCCAATGTAGATCCAACTTTCTATTCACTCGTAGGATCCAGGCGGTCTTGAAGTGTTTTTTCTTGGAAAACAGATTGAGAGGGTAGGAAAACAAGGTGGTGGGGTTAGTTGTTCTAGGGTGGCAATAGCGCCAGTCATTACTTACAACTAGATATTGAAATTCACTATTACCTGGTATACTTGCTAAAAAATGGATCTCTCATGAGGTACAGTGCCCATAACAGCTTTCGTCTTTTAACCTGAATCCATGCCAGTATATAAAGAGAACCATTCAGCACCGAATCTCAAAGAAAACCGATTACTACACTTTCTTAAAAGGTCGATAAGATAAGTTTTCAAAATTGAGAAGGTAAGTGTTGGGAACCCTAACCTCGTTCTTTTCAGCGACAGAAAGATGAAAGTGCTGCTCTTTTGTACCATCCCTGGATGATTCAATTCGTGAAAGAATGCCCATCCCAGTGAAGTCAACAGCCAGAGAAAGAAACCAAGGAATCCATGAGCGAACTCCATACTTTCGAATAAATAACACATAGATAAGTGGTCTTGTTATAAATAGAGCTTCCCCAAACACATAAAAAGCCCCTCGAAGACTTTTTTTGGACAATAAGGTGGATAGGGTCAACTTCTCAACCAATGGAGCTGTAAGAAACAACATCTATATTGAAACTCGTCTAATTTGTACTTACATACGCTAATCAATAAATAAATTTTATACGAATAGTTACTTGGAGGCTCCATAATTGCTTGCTGGTGTTGAACCCTACGTAACCATACTGGTTCCGAAACCATCCTAGCATTTTCTCCAAATCTATTCAATGTGGATAGTGCTCTTCCTTCTAAATTCCATGAGTACTGTCCATGATTATTTCTTAAGTAACCAGGCCCAAGCTGCAATCCAGGCTTCGTAAAACCACCTATGTTACGTTGAGGAGTTGAAGCTTCCACATGCATTTCATCATTTGGTGTCTCTCCACCATGCAGCAGCATCTTATATCCATTATTCCGGAACAAAGCTAACCTAACTAGCACCCTGATGGATAATGAAATCCACAATGAGGCAACAGACAGAATCCTGTATGCAACAAATTCTTGAAAAACGAGTGACTTATGGCAAATAATAAATGATCCTTACTTCATAGCCTCCGTAATAGCAATGAAATTCCATTTTTTTTCATCACCAAAATACTGTTGACCCACAACTTCAACCAATGTTTCCAAATCTTTCAGTGCAGATATACACAACGCATACGGAAAAGAGTAACCCTCAGTAGAGCCAACATGCATTGAAGTAGGAGATGTAGCAATTATATGTTCATTGATAGCAGTTGTTATTCCCAACAGAGTAGTTACTGCAGAAAACATATTAAAAAAATATTAACAATTTTTGTATTACATGATATATACAGTCACAGAGATATAGTGAGGGAAAGAGACTTACAAAACGGTTTCAGATATTAGTTATCAAGCTATTCAATTGAAAAGATAAATGTTGGACAAATTGAACATGCTATTCCAACTTTAATATAATTGAAAACTTTTAAATGTACATTTCGATTCACTTGTTTTTTAATTCTGTAACTTTCCTTTGTTTTCTTATAAACCAAAATTACTTTCGTAAAATGTACAATTACTCCAGAGAGAACCACATAATCACTAACAGACGCAAAAGAATCCCTGCCAACTTCTAAGCTATAACAAGAAGTAGCCAAATGTTACCAAAATTTCAAAAAACCTGCTTCTGGTCCTATCTCCGATTCAGAAAACCGTTCAGGTAGAAGCCACGTGAGCCCCTGTACAAAGTTTTGAACATCCAGTTAAAATAACAAAATTGAAGGCCAATCATTCCATGCATTTTCACCAATTATGAGTTACGATTACTGATAAAGTTGAAGAAGAAAACCAAAAAGGGACTAACAGAAAAATATGAGTTTGCGACTTTGTGAGTATATTTCTTAATAATGAGTTATATATATTACTCCGAGAATCGGAAAAGTATATCCATATGCACTGCTAATATATAAGTATACAATTATAAATGTCAAATGTCAACAGCCATATGTCTATCAAAAAGGAAGAAATTAACTGTAAACAGAATATCAGCTAACACATAGCTCAAATTCAAATTTATAACACTATCAAGATTCCATTTTTATCAGAATTTCACCATTTTTAAGTTCATTGGAAACAACCAAATAGCACAAATCCAATTAACATGAAAAAAAGCACAAATTATCATAAAAATTGGTAATCATCAACAAATAAGGTGACAAAATTTAGAGAAACTGAGAGATCTCACATTGGCCAGAGACTCCAAGGAGTGCACATAGTCCCTGTTCTCCCTAACCCATGTCTTATAAGCCTCCATAGATTCAAAGACTCCTACTCAGCCCAAAACTTCCCTCAGAAAACCCTCCTACTCAGCTTTTGCGCGACTCGGACGAAACCCAGAATTCCAGAGAGGCAAAAGGAGAGGCCCTTTTGGATAATTTGGCTGTGGATTTTCTCGGCTGCTGAAATGCTGATGGTGAAGAAGTTGCAGAACGCAGAGAGTGACGGTTCGATGAGCGGTGGCTTTTCGGTTTTCTGCTGGATATAGTATTTTAACCTGGACCGTTGATTTGCCCAGATTTGTGATGCTGATGGGGTTCAAAATAGTGGACGGTGAAGATCTGGTGTCTGTTCCACTGTTCCACTTCTATGGCTGAGATCTTGGGTGCGATCAAGATTCTATAAGGTGGCAGAGCAAATGATCAAATAAATTGGATATGGTTTTTGCTCACCCCCAATGTTTTTTGAAGGATAGGATCATAGGATCTAGGTGATCAGACGGATATAAAAAAAGTAGGTGATGCCTCTTTGCTTTTAGGGTGGTGCAAGCCTCTTTTTTTTTCTTTTTTTTCTTTTTTTAAGAAAGAAGATTAAATTAAGGAGAAACCTCGAAGACACTCAAGGCCTCAAGAATCATACTCAATTACATACTAGTATTATAATATTTTTGAGAAGCCATATATTTGTTTTAATGCGAAGGGTTAAACATTTTTTAAAAGGTTTTACAAAGCTTCGTTTTTCTTGCCCAACTCACCTTTGTTTTTTGTCCTTCCAAAATTTTAGTAGCATAACTCTTGTAACGACGAGGATTGTTGGCAAAAGCCGTAATGTAAAAGATTGTTGTCTAATCATTACTTTACTTTCGATCTAATCATTACTTTATTTTTACTGCACATTTATTTATATTTTAACATCACGTGTAAATAAGTTTAATACTACTCAAATGTGCACTCTAGAATTAGTCTATCACCTTCCAATCACAACTCAATTTGAGTGTCAAGGTAAATATTCTGAGTTGAAGTATGCCAGTCAGTTTGCTATCCCGAGTCCAATCTTATACACCTAAATTTGCCTCTATGTGGCCTATCTTAGCTTTCGACACGTGTCCACAATAACTTTAATTTTAAATAAAAATAATAATAAACAAAAAGAAAAATTGATAAAAAGAGCTTCAATACTTTGAATTTTAACAAAAAATTATATACTAACTTTATTTAATGGTTAAGACAAAACTCAATATCAAATCAACTCAATAAAACTGGCCCAAACAAAGTAATTTATCAAATTTCTGAGTTTACCCTTAACGTGAGTTTTGGCCCTAACGTTACACCCTAATTGTTGCTTTAGTGCCGTGGTTTTCAACTCCATGGCTTTTTTCAACTCACAGCAAGAAAACCATGAAAACCTTGTTTTTCAAGTCCATGGTTTTTTCTTATATCTCAAATTCATTTTTTTCCTTTTTTTTTTTTTTGCTTGATCTTATGTTTGATGGAGATGTTGAATGCAAGGTGGCTCGATAAGGTTACTTGGGTTTCTCCTCTAAAGTTTCTTAAAACTCCTCAACATCACAAATTTTTCGAAATTGCTCGAAATCAATCGGCAACACAGCCATCATCCTTCATCTGCACCGAATGCCCTTCTAATTACTAAAAATGCAATTGATGGCCAATACCAAGTAATAGGTGTAATCAAATTATACATTTTGTGTGGAATTAACATATTTCATAGAAGGAGGAGGCAAGAAAAACGAGACCTGGGAAAGGAGAGCTTGCCTTGGCGTCGTGGAGAAGAAGCTGATGAGGGAGTATGTGAGATTGAGACATGGCTTGTTGTCGCCGAGCTTGATTTGAGCAAAGTAGAAGAGCCAGAGGTGTGTAACCCCACAAAACCCTTTATTTGTTTATGGCACACAGAGAATCAAGCTCATCAAATTATGTATCTTTGCAATTTGTAAAATTGAAAGCCCCTACATAAAAACCGTAAATTAATAGAGCATTCAAGCAAATTACTAAAAGATACACATCCTACACTTTAACATTAGAGTAAAAATTATTTACTTATTTGTCTAGCATATGAGCGTGTTGCATTTGTAATTGAAAAAACAATTAATTATAATTCAAAAGAATCATATTATTAAGGGAAATTTGCATCAATGACTAGTTTAAGAAATAGTGATAATATCAATGTTCAGTTTCAGAAATAGTGTGGTAGCCATATTTATTTTTAGAAATAATGCACTACCCGTGTTTAGTTTCAGAAATAGTTAGTTTCAAAAATAGTGCACTATTCGTGTTTAGTTTCAGATTTAGTGCAGTAACTGTGTTTAATTTCAGAAATAGTGTAGTACTCATGTTTAGTTTCAAAATAGTGTAGTACTCGTGTTTAGTTTTAGAAATAGTATAGTATTCATGTTAGTTTCAGAAATAGTACATTTCATAAATAGTGTAGTACTGTGTTCATGTTCACAAATAGTATATTACCAGTGTTTAGTTTCAGAAATAGTACATTCCATAAATAGTGTAGTACCGTGTTCATGTTCATAAATAGTATATTACCAGTGTTTAGTTTCAGAAATAGTCTGTTTCATAAATAGTGTATTACCCGTATTCAGTTTTCAGAAATAGTTTGTGTTTAGTTTTAGAAATAGTGATAATACTAATATTTAGTTTCAGAAATAATGTAATATTTGTGTTCAGCTTAAATAATAGTAATAATATTAGTGTTTAGTTTAAAAAATAATAATAATACCATATTTAGTTCTAGAAGTAGTGAATGTTTGGTAGTATTTTCATTTGATTGTCACGTTTCACTCTAATTGAATATTTTGTATAATAAGGCCCCCACATAAGCTTTACATATATATTTTTTCATATATTGAGGGCACTAATCGAACAAAAAAAATATTTATTCACCCAAAATTGCACATATTCTTGGTTCAATAATATAATTTCTTCCTAATTCAAACAACTAGCCACTGGTCAAGAGACCCTTCTCAATTTAATTCCTCTCATTTCGCTTACTAGTTTATAAACTAGTAAATGAGCAATTCTTACATCTCATTTTAGTTCCTCTAATTTCATTTACAAATTTTTATGCACGCCATAAATGTGGTTGAAGCTACTCTCAAGTTTCATCACCCCAAAATTGAAAGACATAACCTGGGCCAATTAAAAGATATAATCAATTGTCACTCGGTACTATGGTCTGGTGGTATTCCTCTTCACTTGAAAGTGAGAGATCTTTGGTTTGAATCTCGTGGATGGCGAATTCGATACCAAATTAGGCGACCCATTATGTGGCTTAGCCGAACTCCCCTTCCTCTTAGTGTAAAAATATCGATATACTCAATAACAAAACATAATCAATTCAATTTTAATTATATATAATTAACATTCAGCAAGTAAAAGAGTATATGGCTGTGGAGGAGACAAAGGAGGAATATGTAACTGAGCTTGATTGGCTTCGTCAGTCCAATTTAATTAGTATAAATATCATATAAGATGGGAAGGAAAGGACTTCTCACATGTCACATCACACACATTCAAACCAAAAAATTGCAAACTTTCTACTGCCTCGACGAGCCACGTGTATTTCTACTTCCTCCATCAATTCCCATTAGATTTCACCATTAAAATAATTTAAAGAAAATAAAATTTAATATAAAATAATATTTTCTCTCTCTTCATCTACCTTTCTCGCTCTCAAAATATCATGAATTGAGAAGACTTTTTGCTGGTTGACGGACAAATGGAGAGGAATTGGACTGATGGACGAAATTGAGCTTCCGTCAGGGGCATAGGCTGGAAAGAATAAACAATTGTTTTGCACGTGAGCTTGTTTTCTTCTTATGAGTTTTAGTTTTTGTTCTTATTACATTGTATTGTGTCATTTTCATTAAATTTTAGACCCATAAATTAAATATAAATTTAAAAAGGAAGATAATTTAAAACTAAAATTGGTGCTCCCATTCCCATTTCATGAGGATTTGGATTCATACCCTAGCTGTCGTGAAAACATTATTATCAGACTTTGAACCCATAAAAAAAAAACAAAAACAAAATCATGAAATCTCTTCTTTGATGATGAGGTCTGCAATGATTGGATGAAATAGGTAATACCCATGGTAAACAAGGATTGAAAAAAAATATGACACCAGGCATAGGCAATACCCATCGTATTGAAATAGTTTGTTTGATTCGAAAACTAAACTGACAAAACTAACAAGATTCTGAAGAACTAAATTTAATCATCCTGCAGATATGAACAGTAATATAGGGTTTTATTTTGCTTACCTAATGAAGATTTAAGAGACTAATAAGTAATAGCTTGATTCATTGTAGGGGCATTAGAATTTTGTATCAATCCAAGGCATGGAGTTGCATACCTCATCGGCAAAGAGGAAGATGGAGGCTACGAATTAATGGAGTTCATGCTTATAGGGTTTCTTCCCTTTAAATTTTTTATTTCATTTCCTTATAGATTTTATATTTTTTTTCAGTTTTATTTTATTTTTAATATTAGTTAAAATCCACATAAGCTTCTATGTCATTTAATGAATAAATAAGGACCCTTGGATGTCATATAATCCAAAGGCTTAAAAAGAGTGTAAAAATATTTGTCCCTTAATCTATCCCTATATATATATATGTGTGTGTGTGTGTGTGTGTTTATTTTTCTTTTAATTAAAACAATTAACAAATTATTGTTGCTGGTTGAACCCTTTCTGTGCTTTCAGAATCAACTTAAAGGGCGACTTAATGCGATAACTATTGCATCTGCAACATGTTTTCTGTTTCCTGTGGCTATGTGGGACATGATCATAGTAAGTTCTATGATATGATAAGCGGTTCTAGGTTGAATTTAATTAGATTGACATTTCAGTGGGTCTCTAGTTTAATTTTATGGGCTTGCCTTGTTTAATGTTGGTTTTGTACTTTATTTGCCCTCCCTGCTGTTCAGTTTCTAACTTTTCCTGTTGTTTTTGTTGGAGCACTTGGGGATCACCTTCAAGTACCAGCGATAAGGTGTCCTTCTCTACTTGGGCTTTTCTGAGCACCATTATTTTTGGAGTAATCTTGATATTTTATGTCGATGGTATAGCAGAAGAGAGGTATATTTCATAACTTTCGATGCAATTTTGGCCAATTTATCTAGAATTGCTTGATTATCAGTTATTACTTGTTGTCTACATGAACATTTCATATACTTTACGTTTGATCAGTAATGCTCCTAATGTGTTATAGATTACACATGGTTTTCACTTCTCCAAGGCATTTAATGGTAGCTGGAGGATGCATAATCGTTATGGAGATTGTGTACTAAATGGACTTTTCATTTCCAGG